GAGTCAAAATGTTTGCCGTGTAATTCATTTCGCAAGACGTTTTGCAGGTGTCTGCGAGGCCAGGATCATTGCATGTAGTATCACTATGTATACCATCCATGATGTTGTTTAATACGCAAGCAGGTAAGGGGAATTCAACGTCCGGACTTAACGTATCTACTGCAGCAGACATGTGTTTATTTGTTAAATCACTGGATGTAGTCTTCACACTTCCTGCAGGCCTATTCATTCTATTCGGTTTGTGTTTTTTACTGGGATTTGAAGCAGACAGTGGAGTTTGACGCTTAGTTTCAACCATTGGCATTTAGAAAAGAGTTAAACTTCTTAAATATAAGAGAATGAGCAAAGTGTCTGTAAGGTCCTTTTTAGGGTGTTGGAGATTTAGATTGTTTAGTTCGGTACGCAATTAGCAGTTTATGTGGATAAAAATACTGGAATATAGTATGAAGACACGCTTAACAAATACTATAAATGCAAAGATGCGATAACAGAAGCACTTAAGTAGACACTAGCTATAATGGACAATTACAGCCGGAAAAGTTATCTTTAATGAAAAAATAGGACTAAATATTTAGTACTATCCTCGAGAGACCTATTGAAAAGCCGCCTATAGAGTAAAAAAGAACTAAGAAATAACACGCGAAAAAGTAACAAATCCTTCGAATTGCCGCGGTCACAAGGGGTTCAGCCAGTCACCTGAACTGATGCCTCCTACCTCTATGGTGGTACGCGGTTTTCCGGAGCTGGAAACGGGCACTGCTTGTGAAAAAAACATGCATGACGTACAGCAAGGGAGATGGCTGTCATCTTAGATGGCCCTTGGCGCCTCTGCAGCCATCTCCAATTCCCGACTACCTCGCCCCGCTCATCTCACACTCATTAGCTCCCCAAAGCTGCTCCCCTGAGCAGTTGGCCATAGCACTTCAACGGTGGTATGAGACCAAGGGAAAATGGGAGGACACATCCGGCGCTGCGAAAGCAGACCTCAAACCATGAGGAGGCAGCAAACTAAGGCTTTAATATGTCTCCAAGCTTCAGTGACACAAGAGCGATGCAGTTCTGAGAATAAAAGTCTGTGTCACCCAAGTGTCCTGCCTAAATCCATGGAAAAACACCACATCGGGCCGGTTCCATCGGAATCGGCCAACTAGTCCCAACATTAAGTCCCCTACCAGCAGACAGCTTCGCATCAACTACCCCACAACACACTGAGGTTGTTAGACTCACTGTCAGCTGCCTATATAGTAATGCGAGAGGACAGAGGAAAAATAGGTGAACTTCGAAATCTCCAAGCACACCTACAACTGAAAATGATCATTCTCACTGAAACGTGGCAAGCCTCCACTATCACCGACAACGAAATCAGTATAGGTGATATGATTCTGGTCAGCAGAGACAGGGATAATAAGGAAGGAGGGGGAGTTGCTATATAGTTTGACAGGCAACTTAAATGTGTACGCTCAACGGACTCACCACTTATTGAACTCCCAGACTCCATATGGTGTCATTTCACCGTAGGCCACACCAAGCATTTACTGGGTGGTATCTACCGATCTCCCACCTGTGGAGCAGAGCGCAATCAGCTAACGCTCAGCACTAGCACAGGGATACGAGACTTGGGCTATGACCAAATCACCATAGCTGGAGATTTCAATGCCCCATTACTGAACCTTGGCTAGGGAAAATTGGGCCGAAATCTACTGCAAACTATTCGAAACACGGGACTGACTGGGAACGTTGGAGACGACACTAGGTGGGGCCCTAGTGGAATGTCATCAAAACTAGATTATATTCTAAATAGTGACCAACTGCTTGTCGAAAAGGTCCAGATCATGGCTCCTCTAGGAAGTAGCGGCCATGCAGTCATAGGCTTCGATCCTGTTCTCAGTGGGCATTTGCAGTGGGGCGTTACGTGACCATGGCTGTGTTACAGCAAGGCTGACTATGCTGAAATGTGGAGGCTCTTGTCCGATGCAGACTGGCCCTTAGCATGGGATGAGCTGTCTGTGGATGAACACTGGGAGGTGGTAAAAAAAGATTATTCATACAGTAATCTCGGATACCGTCCCTTTAGTCACAACACAGCCCAAAAGAAAGTCATCATGGTTTAAAAGAAGCACGCAACGTATTCTGCAAGCAAAGTGGAAGGCCTGGTTTACGTGGCGCGTATCTAAAAGCCAGATCGACCATGATGCATACCTGGAACTGAGGAATCGGTGCAATGCAAGAGTCAGGAGGGACAGGAGGTCATTCCAGGCTAACCTTGCTAAAAAACTCCGAGCAAACCCCAAAAACTTGTACCGATTCATGTCGGAAAGAAAACCAACCAACCAGGGGGCATGCGCCTTAGTAGGCCCAAACGGTAAATATCTCACTAGTCTGGAGATGGCTGAAACTTTCAGTTTAGCTTTCGCCAAACAGTTAAACAGCAATGTGGGTATCACCGTTACGAACCAAAACGGTGGAACTACTATTTCACAGGAGGAAGGCCTAGTGGCTACTCCCCAAATAAACCCCGCAATAGTACTAGGGAAGCTACAGTGACTCACACCTGGGAAGTCCCCAGATTGTGACGAAATCATGCCGTCTGTTCTGAAACAGTGCGCCGAAGCTCTCTGTAGGCTTTTATGCGACTTGTTCCAACACTCCATGGAATCGGGGAAACTGCCAAGGGAGTGGAAAAGAGCCATCCTTTCTCTGACCTTCAAGGGTGGGGATAGGCACAACGCCACTAGTTATAGGCCAGTAGCTCTACTCCCAGTGGTATCAAAAGTACTGGAAAGTATTATTGACGATCACATCAGGGAATATCTTGATAGGTCTAATGTACTCGATGAAGCCCAACACGGTTTCAGGAAAGGGAGATCCTGCGTTACTAACTTACTATCAGCTTGGGACGACTGGACATCATGCTGGGATATGAATGTTCCAGTCCACGTGGTCTTCCTAGACTTTGCGAAGGCATTCGACACTGTTCACCATGACCTTCTCCTACACAAAATAAACCAGGCAGGTATAGGTAAGCCACTTCTGTCATGGATAAAGGACTACCTAGCTGGAAGGTAATTTCGCACTAAGGTCAATCGAGTCCGACCATCTTGGCACAGTTCGTCATCAGGAGTGTCGCAGGGTTCTATCTATGATCTACCATACCGTCTAAGCTGTCCGACTCTTCTATACGCTGACGACGTGAAGATATGGAGGGCGATAAAGTGCCCGGAGGACTCAGATAAGCTACAGGACAGTGGCATGACTTTCAACCTGAAAATGTGCAAAGTAGTGAAGTTACGCACCTGTAGACTGCAGGATGCAAGTTACACCCTGTGCAATGAAAGCTTGTCCTGCACAACGTCGGAACGCGACTTAGGTCTAGTTCTAACAGAAAAAATGGACACAAGCGTAAATTACACGGGGGATGCGGCGAGGGCATATGCGGTCATACACTTTATACATAGACAGTTAGGTGCACTCACTCCTGTACTCTTTTTAAGGTTGTAAAAGCTTACGTCAGACCAAACCTTGAATTGAATAATATTATTGCACCGCCACTGCTTAGAAGAGACGCCAACCTCTTGGAAAGGGTCCAACGACGGGCAACAAAAGGAGTGGTTGGTCTCCGAAATAAACCATATGATGTAAGGCTGAAGAAATTAGGCCTATTCACACTTAGCTGCCGTCAACTTAGGAAGGGTTTAATTACCGTCTACAAAATAACAAATGACCAGAATCACCCAAACAAAGGTGTTCTGCCATTGAGTAGGTGTAGGCTCCCTCGTGGAAATCCCAGAAGGATAGCTCACCAGAGGGCAAGGACTCGAGTCCGCTCCCACTTCTTTTCACTGCGGGTTTGCCGTCCCTGGAATTCCTTACCGGCAGATGTAGCTATGGCACCGTCTGTGGACGCCCTTAAGCGAAGGCTGGACAACCATGCGGCGACACAAGGACTGCATCCAAATGGCCTATCCCCTTAAAATCGCATACACCATTCAGGGGTAGACAATTAAACTTGTCGTTTTACTTCTTTACATTCTCTCCCGTCTTACTCTCCTGACAACTTTAACTACATCTATTGTTATTGTCATTATTACCGATATATATGAATATACATTATTCATATTATTCTTCAAATTTAATCAGCTGACTGTTGTTACGTTTTCTTATTCTTTTTCTGTCTATTATTCTGAATAACTTCACTAATTATATCTATTATTATTATCTCTTTTCTTTTGACGAAGATACCGGAGGACTAACTGGTGAAAGGATCAACTCCATTCACAGTAGTAACACTCTTGACAAACCTCATACTACAAACTACACATGTGTGCGTCGGTGGCACAGTGGTTAGGACTCTCGCCGACCATGCACATGGTCCGGGGTTCGATCCCCTGCCGGCGCACACCCGATATCTATGGTATGCCTGAATTTGGGCAACCGATATCCATGCTGAAAATTCCACACTTGTACTGAAAATACGGTGTGGAAATCAAGCTGTAAATCAAAAAAAAAAATAATTAATCCCAGGACTACTCCTTTTGGAGTCGACCAAAGCAACGACAGTCAAGTGGCGGGACGACTTACGCAGAAGTTTACTGAAGATCAGGAACCTATACCTTACAATCAAGAGGCGAGCACAAAGAAATCAAATTGGTCTATACTAGCTCGTAAAAACGATAGTGGATATATGATATTGGATGTCCGAAACTATGAAGGTGCAGTTAGCATTTGGAAGCTAGTTCTCTTCCTTTAGAAAGATGACTCCTAATATGGGACGCCTATTATCTAAATTCCAAAGCTCTGGGCTATTTCGAAATCTTTTCTACCCCCTAAAATTAATTCATTGTAAATTGAATTTTAGGACTGCGTCTGTTGTAGCTACCGCTACAGTTCGACCTTAAGTGGTGTTGACCGATAGGGCTCGCATATTAACAAGGCTTAGGGTGTGAAAGTACTTTCTCAGTCTTTAAATCGTCTCATCTCATATTTTTGCAATAAAATAAAAAATGGGCAACTCTTCGAGTGGTCATAAGCGTAGATCATCACTAGACGACGATATTTTATCTGGTGTTCTAGCAGGAAAGAGATATGCATATCAAATGTCACATGTATTTTATTATTTCTGTGGAATTAAAACCAAAATTTTTAGGATACAGCAGCCGAAGAGTCGGTGATCAGCTTTGTAACAGGAAGTTCAGCTGTAAATGCTATCGCCGATCAACTTCGTGATTCTAGGTTGTACGACTCGGGTGGTAAACCAAGCTTATTTGTTGGAGGACCTTCTTCTGGTCCTGATACGTCAGAAGACACTCAAACCACTGTTCAGAGCGTTCCCACAGTCTTTAAGTGGGACGGAGGTGGAAAGGATGTTTACATAAGTGGGACATTTAATGGGTGGAAATCAAAAATTCCCATGGTTAAAAGGTAAGGGCTGAATAATGTCATACGATTCCTTAAATTGCATTTTTATATTCTGTTATGAACTGGGTTTTAGTTTATCCCAGCTAGCGTTTTCTTCGGGCGTACTACACAACCTGCGACAGTTATCTGCAGTCTGCCCCAGTTTCTGCAGTGCGCCCGAAGAAAATGCTAGCTGGGATGCACTAAATCAAAGCACTACCATATGCATGCATTAAGTATAATGCTTCATTGATTGTGATGGATAGGGTACGTGCTCTGCACTTCAGATCGTCATCATAGTCATTACCTTTACGGCTCTGAATGCTTGAATTTTATTTTCAATCTCTGCATGTATCTCACCGACGTGTTACAAATTCATATGTTAAATCCTTGACTATACCTTATGTATGGGGACTTATACTAATAGATCAGTCCGGGGTAAATAGATAGGATAGAATTTGAGATAAATATTCCTAGCTTCAGATGCATGTCCGACCAGTGGATTGCACCTCTAATATTGACTAACATTAAGATTGCTGGTGCACTAAACACTTAGTGTTGCAAGAACTTGTGAAGAGCGTAACTGCTAACAACGACTCAGCGGATTATTGTTCATTATCACACTTTAATTAGAGCAATAAACAAACGTATCTTGGTGGGGTGGGGAAGGATGGAACTATATAGTCTTACAAGTAAAAAATTAAGAATTTGTAAAATAATATAAGACCAATTTAGGTTGGTAAGGGTGATGAATCATGAAATAAAAACCTGCAAATCTTCTACACTTAGATAAAGTAATCTGGCAGTGTCCATGATGTGGGATGGTCAGTAGTAGGTTCGTTAATTAACTGACTAGCTTGATATTTATGTTTTGACTAGTACGTCACAGCTTCGAATCATTATTTACTCACCATTATCCATCATACCATCCATACTATGTTACCTAACTTATCCAGGTACCTTTGATTATATAGACTTAGTAGTCTGATCACCGTATGGGTCTTCGAAAGCGTAGAAAAAACTGTTTAATACGTAAAAATATGCACTGTGTAACATTGACAATATCTCCCCTAACCATTAAAAATGTGTGCACTGGTTTCAGTGTTCCTTTCAAACTGTAAGACTTCACCATAGCCTGTAAAATAAGTCTATCATAATTCCACCTTCCAGAAGGGGGATATTTCTTGATGTTTTGTGCTATCAAGCAGCTAAAGTAAGCTGTTGTACCTGCTCGAAAGTGATTCATTTTGTTCTTTTTTGTGTAGTAAAGGAGAAATAATGTAACATGGTGTATTCCCTCTTTTTCTGTTGTTAACAATTTTGTTCTGACTTTAAGTTACTGATTAAGCTATGACCGTACAGTTTCGAGATGCTGAATCCAGTTTTATCTCTTTTTCATCGTAAGGGCTGGAATCTATGTGAAGTAAGCACTCGGGTAGTGCGAAATCACAACTTTAGCAACGACTGGTATTATAAATGTCTGTATGTGTTCTTATCCATTTATGTTCAACTTATGTGGAGATTGTGCAAGTGTATTTTCTTTTCTGAGTATATTCCAAAGAATTTATGCCTCAAAGGAAGTGGGTATATAGGAATCCTAGTTACAAGACACTTCGTGGATGCTAGGCATTTCTTCGATGTCTCTAAATCCCTCAATACTTAATGTGCAACGGACGCTAGAATTACTAAAGCTTTCCTAAGAGATTGCAGTCAAACGTTTTCAACCAAACTTATGCATATAGAAACGAATTGTGGTCAATCTCTCACTCGCTTGATAACTACACTTTTATTTTGATGAAGTTGATTGCATAATTATACACATCAGTGAATTCAGCTCACTAAGCTAATTCCAATTTTATGAACCATGGTTCTCTTAGGGTGTTATATAATCCTATAAGCTGAAAGTGTTTATTACTTTTCCCCTTTTCTGTCACTTCATCCCCCTCACTTTCTACTTTTCAATGCATATCAAAATTAACCACGACTTAGACTGAATACCTGTGGTGCCTACTCTTTGGAACCCTTTATTTATAACACACGTGTATCATTCCAACAGTGAAGTATATTATTTTTCATTCTTTTATGAGTTACGATTTCTGGTAGTTTGCAGTTGATGAGCACATGTCAAATAAAAAGACATCATTTTACACTGAACCTTTGATCTTCCGTGCCTTATCGAAATGTATTTATTGTCTTGTTAGCTCAAGTAAACACAACTTCTACACAATTATTGACCTTCCTCTTGGTGAACATCAGTACAAATTTATTGTCGACGGGCACTGGAAACTCGACCAAAATCAGGTTAGTTATGTTTACTTTATGACTAATAATTATGATATATTTCCAACTACTGACCAGTATGTGTAAGTGAGTAATTAGATAAAAATCTATTGTAAAATCATAACACATTTCTAGAATATTGGTTTAAAACAAAAAGTAGTTATTCATTCGTGTACCATGCAATAAGCGGTAATTATTATAACAGGTTTACTATTATTAACTATGTGGAATAGCTTTGTAACTCATGGCTGATTGGTTTAAATTTAATTGATAAGTCACTCCATAAATCCTACCAAATTAACACACAGAATAGCGGAAGCAAACAGATTGAGAAGCAAATATAAATAGGATAAGGAAGGAGAAGGAAAACTAAAAAATAGCATGGTGGGACTGTCCACTGACTAATAGTAGCTATACACTCACTTTCTGGGGGCGAATTTCATCTGGATAAAAAGTTATTGGTATGTTGTAAGTAGCCAAAGCCCACTGTATCATCGAATCATTTTGTTAAACATATATAGTTTTTGTCAATTATTATTTTTTCTTTTTTCGATAATCACTGTACTTCATCTGCAGTTCTAATACTTCGAGAAAGCTGAAAAGTTGAAGGCAGTTCAGTACCTAGCGACTTCGAATAGGATTCCCTTTTAGTAATAACTTTTAATAGGTGCGTAGTAAAACAGATTGCTGTGTATATTGTACTCTTAACAATTTTTCGTAAAACGAACATTCGCTGTTATACAGTATCATTCAGCACAGTCTTTGAAATGCCCAGGCATGCCTCACTTTTTATTGTCAGGAGGAAGTCAAGAGTGGTGAATAAGCCATAAGAAAAGACCCAACTACTTAGGCGAATAAAATGACTACTGTATCTAAAATATAGGATAAAATGAAATACTAAGATTAACGCGTAGTTTTTCTCTAGAAAGGAGAGTTTCGTGGCATAAAACTCACGTGAATTTTAAGACATGCTTACATCACATACATCTGACGAAGAAACGGAGGTTGAATTATTGGCGAATTGCTTATGTTTATTTTCGCTAACCTTCTCTCTTATCTACCTTTTACGATAATACTGTGTGACTGCTTAGAAATCGTGATGAACTCATCCTCTTTTACTATCACATTATATTATTATATTATTATTATTATTCCCTTCAGTTCCCAGTGGAACATACGGTTTCAACAACACATCTCCACTTTCTTCTACTTTCTGTCATCCTCTTCAGCTGGGTCCACGATTGACCATAACTTCTCATCTCTTCTTCACACAATCTCCTTGTCACCCTAGGATGACTCACTCATCGCTTCCCATTTGGATTCCACTCGAGCAATGGTCCACATTGCGCGCGATGTCATTCGACGGTTTCCTCAATGTATTCCCGATTCATCTATCTCCATTTTCCCCTACATATTTTTTAAGCAATCAGCTCTTGGTTGGTTTGTTCCACCACAGAGCTTCTTGTTGCTAATTCTTTCTGGCCCGTTGACCATCTGATCTTCAGTATGCAGCCAGTAAAGGCAGATGTTGGTAAAAGTCTGCAACCCGTTGGAAATTCTTTTCGTGGCACACAGTGCAAGTTTCTGACCCGAATAGAAGGACCGACTTGACATTGGTGTTGAAAATGCGAATCTTATTCCTTATGCTGAGTGTAGAAGATTTCCAAACTGGTTTCAGGTTAATGAAGGTGTATCTCCCCTTTCCGATTCTGACTGGTCGGCCTTGACGTCTTCATCTGTTCTGACTGGCTGTAGTTGAGACGATGCTTCCCAGATAAGTGAAGTCAGGAAGTAACCTCTGGTAAATCTCTCCTTACTTACTTTACTTTACTTCGGCTATCTCCTACGGGAGGATGAGCCGGCTTCATAAACATAAGAGTTCATGAAGTTTCATGGGAATTTGGTACAAGTGATGTCCCCAGAATCGCTCGGCCTTTTGTTTGAGAGTGCAGCTCTAGCCTTTACACAACCAAGTGTGACCTACAAGGCAGTAGGAGTGGAGTAGGGAGTCCACTATCCATTGGCAGCCGGTGACCGGAGTTCGCTTCATACGCCTTTTTGAATGGGGCCAGACATCCAGGACATGGAACAAGCCCTTTGTCCATACGTCTGCCGGTGAGCTCCAGTGAGCTTCATACGCCAGTCGTTGGAGGTTTGGAATCAGGGTTTAGCCATCTCCCCTAGACTGTCATCCAATGGACAGTCAACCCGGTGAAGAGCGCCGGGCATCCGCTTTCGCCCTCTCACTTTGGTGAAAAACACCTCCGCCACGTGAAGGCAGTGAGTAGGACTTCCTCAGGAGAGGCTATGTAAATCTCTCCCGTTGGTAGTGATTGGTGCTAGTTGTTGTTGTTGTTGCTGTTCGTTGGTTTGTTATCTTCATCACCTGTGTGTTGTCTATGTTCACCTGGAGTCCTGTCTTCGCTGCTTGCCTGCTTATTCAGCCAGTTTGTTGCCAGTTTTCGCCTGCCTCTGAGTCTTCGAGTCTGTGCGACATTAGACATATATCATCCATACGCGAAATCCAGATCTTCTCGAGTCTTCTCACTGGTGGTCCAGCGTATTCCTGTCTTCTCACTCCCAACTCGCAGTCTGACGCACAATCCAGTCCACCACAATTAAGAATATCATCGGTGATAATAGGCAGTCAGCCAGCTTGTCTAACTCCTGTGTGCACTTCGAACGCCTCACTGAGTTTTCCATTGTGGATCACCTGGCACATGGCACCGTCATATAGCCAGCTGCTGAATGAGGTTGACAAAGAGTTGGCCACTGCACGCCGTAGTATTGAAGTAGTTCCCGAATTACTTCTCGGTCAACGCTGTCTGATGTTGGCCTTTTTGGAGTCTATGAAGTTGAGGTAGAGAGTGGTTTGACTGCCATTCTATGCTTTGTCCTATGATGACGATGCATAGAGATGCAATTTGATCAGCGCATGATTTGCTTTTCCCGAATCCAGCTTGTTTGGGTTAGTGGGGCGGAGTTCCGTATCCAGTGCATCCTCTATTATCCCCATGATGGTGCGACTTAGTATTTTACTTGACGTGGAAAAGAGCATGATTCCACACAAGTTCTTGCAGAGTGAGGCGTTAGTCACCCTTCTTTGGAAGCTTGACAAGGTAGCCAGCCTTTCTTCTAATCGGTAGGTACCTTTCCTTCTTCCCAAACTTTTTGCAATAATGTCGTGAGCACATCTGCCGCAGTCTCTGGGTCCGTTTTTAGTGCTGCGGGAAGGGGGAATTCCGTCTGGTCCCGCTGCCTTCTCAGCGGTGGATTTATGTATTTCCTCACCACTGTGGATAAAATATCGCCGCATTCTTTTTGGAAAAGAGACCAGTTGGTGGATTATAAATGATGTCCAAGTAACTTATATCCTTCCATGTGATATTGTGGTAAGTCTCGACCTTGTTTTCTCATATTTCATTCGTATGTTGGTTATGGTTCACGCTTTGTATCAGGTAGACATAATTCGATCGACTCTTATTTGTATGGGTGTTATTTTCATGGCTGCTGCTTTTTTGTCTGAAATTATAGATAAAGGCAAAAGAAATAACAGGTGTAGTCTCTAAGTTCATACATTAAATGGGCCTATTGTTTTGTTTGTTTCTCCTCCTTGGTAATCAGGTTCCCTTGAGCATCTTTTATTGGTTTCATTATGTGGGTTGATCTCTTCCCGGATAGCCAGTGACCTGGTAATCTGATATAATTTCCTTAGGTCTCTTCTGCCTGCAACCTGCCTGTTCTGCGTCAGTCGCCGGCCAAAGTGTCGTAGAATCGTCTTTTGTCATTCCTAGCACTCTTCACGTCTTTCTCAATTCAGTGCAGTGTACATTGAATTCAGCTTCTCCTTCTGTTGTGCATCTTTTCGTTGAGTCGTCTTTTCTTTCGCCATCCTCCTCTCCTCTCCTCTCCTCGATTAGCTTCCAGGTAGGTGTCCATTGAGACTCATTCCATGTCGTGTCTCTTCCTTTTTTGGATTTACAGCTTGATTCCACACCGTATTTTCAGTACAAGTGTGGATTTTTCAGCATGGATATCGGTAACCCAAATTTTGCAGGCGGACCATAAGGCCACTCATGTGAATCTCTCTAGAACGGGCATCACTAGCACGAACACTGTCATCTCGGGAGGAACAAACACGAGAGAACCAGGCGGCAGGATTTAGACCAGGGAGAGGGTGCATCAACCACATCTTCACCCTTCGACAGATTCTGGGACATAAGAATACTTACCAGCGTTTAACAATCGTCATATTTCTTGACCTAAAGGCGTCATTTGATTCTGTCGACTGAGAAGTACTATGGAAATGCTTGGTTGTAAAGGGAATGTCGAGAAAATACATTACACTGATCAAGGCACTCTACTCATGCAGTCAGCCAGCTGATAGTTTAGGGCGAGTTGTCATCTGAAGTGGTGACAACCAGTGATGTTCTTCAGGGATACCCACTGTCCCCATTTCTATTCAATTTCATCATAGATGTAGTAATAGACTTAACCCCAAGTGAATTCACCGACTCAGGGATTGACTTGTTACCATCAAGGAATAATCTCGTTGACTCACGATATGTAGACTATATAGTCCTCCCTCCTAGGTGAAGACACTCTCAATACCTTCAGGATCTGCAATCTGCGAATGTTTGTCATGCAACTCGCTCCCGCCAAATGTAAAATAATGTTACAGGACTGCACTACATCGACTACTCCTAGCTTAAAGATAAGCAATGAAGTAGTAGAGCGTGTTGACCACTTCACTTATTTGGAAAGTTGCATCAGCCAGTACCAGCGGTTTGATGGCTGGCGAAATCTCAGCATGGATTCACAAGGCTAGTTTCGCATATGCCAGTTTACGCCGTCTCTGCCTCGGTAGACGTGATATCCAGCTGGCTGTCAAATAAAGGGCAAGTGTACTGCTCGGCGGTCCGCTCCGTCCTCCTTTATGTCTGTGATTGACACATGACCACTGAAAGTGGAAGACATCAGGAGGATAACTGTTTTTCATCTTAGGTAAGGAGGGAAAATCAATCCACTATGTTGTGAAGTTACATCGATTGAGATATGTACGGCGTGAGTTAGGCACGCCTAGCCATCGATCGCCCTCCTCGACAATAGGCAATGTTAGCTGACTGGCATAGGATGGATCAGGTTGGAAAAGAGCTAGCCAGTGGTGGTCAAACCAAAACATGGCTTCATTCGTTGATGAAATCCATAACAGTTAGTTCAAGTCACGTATGGAGGTGTAGACTGTGGGTGTGGGTTGGGGTCCTTAGGATAGTAAAAACTAATGAAGGCTTGAGACAATTGGTGATATGGTTCAAAGTTGTTCTCATTGGCTTGTGCAGATGCATCCACTCCTTGTGATTTATAATTCTCCAATAAGGCTATATTATTCTTCGATATTACTATTTTTTTTGCCTTATATCTCTATTTACCGTCTCTTCTTTGCATTTCTTTTTACTTTCTTCTCTTGGTTTGTGTGCTACATAAAGTGTGGCGACTCGAACTGATGCACATCGGTGCAAAGTTCTATGTTGAGACCAGTCGGTTAGTCAGAATGTGTAATTTGAATTACAATAGTCTATCTCCAGCTGTTATGAAGGATTTTAGATTCACCATGAAGATTCCTTTGAATAGATAATAGTCTAAGCCCGCACGTGCTCCCCTTCTCAAGTTTGTGCCCAACAGGCTAGCCGCGTCTCCACTTCCTTGAGCAGTATTCAGATGAAATCTATCTGATTTGTGGTATGTCCTTCAGACGAAATCTATGTTGCTTTGTGTATATCCTTGTCTTTGTACAGGCTGCCTCCGATCACCAAGTCACTGAAAGTGCAGAAGTCTGCGAAGAGTTCTCCGTTCGCATTCATTTCTCTAACAGCCTCTTGACCTATAATGAGTCCTCTTCCTGTATTATCCGCTCCCAGTTTGTCTTGCATTCATATCGCCCATCAGGACTTTGATGTCACCTTTTGAGTTGAATCTTGTTGTCATGATCCTGTGGGATGAAATTGGTCCCCACTACATTAGAGCTCTGACTGCCACTGGTGACACCATAATAGCCACTCACTGCCTCAGTGTGTTCGTGTTTGTCGTCTGGGTGATCAGACCGGAGTAGATTACTGACTCTCCAGTTGACAATTTTGACAATCCGGATCCATTCCATCTGTTCTTGCAGATACCTAGAACTTCTAGGCCATATCTTCGCATCTCTTTGGCTACCTGGTCAGTCTTCCCAGTCTCGTATATTATATGGACATTCCACGTCGCCATTCTGATTCTTGCTTTCATCGAGAGAAGACATATCGGATGGCTGACTGGCTTCCTGAATGCCGGCTTTCACCATCCCGCTGTGTCATTTCGCCCCTCCGATTAGAGGGACAAATAAGATTGTTGTTTGAATTTTTAATATTTTTAATATATTTTCTGTGCGTTGATCTTTCCTCTGTTAAACACTCATTGTTTTGATGCTACATTCTGATATCGTACATCATTAAAAGCAAGTTGTTTAATTGTTTATTTTTGATTTTTGTGGTTGTTAAAAAATTTCAATACTTTTTAAACCATTTAGCCTGTCTTCACTAGTCCAACTGGTGTTCAGAATAACGTAATTGAAGTTAAGGAGTCCGATTTCGATGTACTTGCCGCTCTGTCACATGATATGGCCAATTCTCGAGGCAGTAATGAAGATCGTCCACCAACTACCCCTGCTGTACCTTTCCAGACTGGTGATGGAAAACCTGATCCCCCTATACCAGAAGTGGAAATTTCTCATGTGTCTGGTTCTGGATCACCACCTGGCGAATATTCTCGAGTGATTCCTGCTACACCACTTGAAGCACTGTCGTTACAAGGTGGTAGTGGTGCATCGTTACCTTCAGGAGCTCACAATACATCAAATGACCCCAAGAAGGCTTTAACTCCTCCCTTACTACCTCCACAGTTACTTCAGGTATTTATCGTTTCACCTTTAATGCGTCTCGTAATATTTTTCGTTTATCTCATATAGAGTCAGATTTTCAAGTTGTATTTCTTGACTGTATTTTCTGCTAATATATTTCTTTGTAGAAATGGCTGACTAGGCGAGAAATTAAAATAGGAATTTTCAAAGGAGTCCATCAGGTCATGTTGTCACACTTCTAAATATTGAAGAAGGAGGAGAACAGAAATCAAATGTTACAACAATGAATGAATATGGAGGGAAAAAAGGAAATAATGTAACGAAATTAGTTAGAATGTCCAGTATTTTTAAGCTTGTATGGAGTGAGTACCTACGTTACACATGTTCCGTCCACCTCATTCAGTGAAGACTTACTAAGTCATTGAATAATTTACCTTTATTACACAATACTATGTCTAATTTGAACATTACCATATGGTGACACGTACTCTCAAGTTTTCTAATGTTTGTGTCAACTCGCGATCAATCCTGTAACCAATCAAATCTCTGCAAAACCAACACTTGACAAAACGTTAATACTTGAAAGTGTACAAATGAAAAGTAAGTACATGGGAGGGAATAACGAGAATTTAATGGATTCGGAAGATCACAGGGAATGAATGGATATCGGTCATCGTGAGCGATTTTGAGTCATGTCACCACCATCCTCCAACCAGACAATCTACACCTCACACCCCACAGTCAAACACTTCATAGCTTGATGACATTTTTCCATTTGACCACCCCTAACTCCATTCCAAACTAATCTAATCCTATATCAGGTAACATTGCTTGACAAGGATGACTATGAGTTGAAAGGCGTAACACGTATCCTAGCCATCACAATCGTTGCAGTTTCCCAACCTCATTGACTGATTAATTTTCCCACCTTACCTGGCACTTCTTGCTTGACCTCAATATTACTTATCACATCATATCACTTGTCATTGGAGATTGAACTCAAACGTCTGTGGTCGAAGACACCTAGCCGGCCTCTACATATCTTTCACTTTTAACTACCATGTCTTACAGCTACACAGTAGGATAGAGCAAACTGATTTGCAATTGAAACCTCCTTCGATCGATAGTGGAATATCACGTGTGATTGGTAAGTGCTACGTGGGATTGCTGTATCCGGGTTCACTTCATCAGCTATTAGTACATTATGACTAGTGCAACTTAATAAATAATGTTGTCAACACGTTCAAACACTTCACTTCCCCATCTTTAAACTGCTACTTGTTGCAGACCAGTCCTGTAGTACCATCTTACATTTGAAAGAGGGCTAGTAGCATGCCAAACATACTGAAATTTCTCTCCAAGGTGTTGAAAAGACTCTTCACCATGTTAGCGTCCCCGATTACTAGGACTGTATGTTATCTACGTACCCTAAATCGATGAGACTGTTTCCTCATAACAAGTCTATCCCGAAGTCGTTAAAGTCGATTGAGGTCACATCCATTAGCACATGTATGATGAAATGAAATAAAAGAGGGTACACTGAGTAATCGTGACAGTCACCAATGGCTATCATCACTTCAGATGGCAACTCTCTATAAGTTATTACACGGCTGCATGAACTGGAGTAGTGTCTTGATAAGTACAACATACCTTCTCGGAACTCCTTCAGACCATGACATTGCCGCATATCCTCTCGGTTAAGAGTCAAATGCTGCCTTCATTTACCGCAATGTGGTAACTTTCAATGCAGATTTCCTCAAGAAACTACGTCAGTTAGAAAATCACTGAAAAAGAACAGTCACTGGACAACTGTTTCCTCCTAGTTTAACGTTCCTTGGCAGTGTGCACTTATGATCCCATCAGGGACTAGACCCATGATCTTCAGCTTAAAATACCAGCCCGTTTGCCATTTATCTACTAGTTCTCAATGCAAGGCCCTTGAATTATAACTCTGGTCAATTTCCGGCCTATGAGCACCGCCGACTTTGGTCTTAAGTGATTCTCCAACTGATTTCCATTCCTTACGAAATTTACATTGAAATCAATCATAATTCCTACAAAACCTAAAATGTACACATGGTAAGTGCTGGACACCGGTAAGTATGCCAAAGTTCCAGAATCGGTCAGTGTGAAAATAAGATCAATACACCTTCATCCTTGCTCGAATCCTACTTGGTTTTCACGAGTTCGTCTGTCTCATGCTTCACGTATTCTACGCTTCATTTTTGAACTTAGGATTTTAGATACTGTATTAACTGACATAATCCGCCAGTATGATTGCTACAGGAAAGCTAGTTATTCTTCTTAGATGATTTACACTAGAGCGATGGGACTATCTCAAATTGACGTACATTATCTAATACCCAGTCATCAGTTCATCACCAGCATCCTTGAACACTTTTGAAGTCATACCATGCGATTCCGTTTAAATTAGACACAGCTTTTGCTACCAGTTACATTTGTTTACGACCTATGTTCACAACCCATGAGGTAAATGTTGCGTAATGGACAAATGTAGCATGACTCTAAACGGGTATCTTCACCTTGAAGGACTGTAGGTCATTTGCATTCTTATATGTTACAGGACAGTCTTTGCAGCCTCAGTTACGGCTGGAGGACCGGTTTAAAAAAAAAACTCATTCAGGTGTTAGATGTTGCATATATTTAGCGTAGGGTGGGAAGAAGTGGGGTGGAGGAAACTCACTTGTTGAATAGAACGGTTTCTATGTTTTGCAGAACAACTGTCTGGATAATGCTTATCTGTCTATCTTATTTGAATTGATATTGGTTACTGCGTAGTGATGAAGTCAATATTTACTTTAAACAATAATGGAAGAAAGTTTATACTTCCGTAGAGCTCTTGAACTTTGAACACTTTGCACGTTGACCACCACGTATCTGATAGTAGTTTGCTGATTTTCAACCAAATCTCAGGTAGCCAGATGCAAACAGCTTGTGAACTGGATAATTTAACCTTAATTTTAGCTAAATTAGCTCATCATAAGTAAGTAAAACACCTGTTCCAATTTTCGACCAGTCTTATTGAGCTAGTGAAAATTGTCAATCATCATGAATCGCTTTTAACTACACTCATTATTGTTGAGTATTTTTTCAATCTAACAGGCATATCCTTAAAGGTGGCTAAATAATAGCCCAGGAAACTATTTTAATAAGAAGTTTTACTCTGTGATTGTAGAGAGTAGAAACTACAAAAGTGTTCAAGGTATGACTCTGATCTGTGACTGCAAACAGGTTGTCAGATAAGAAGAAGCATATTTTGTCAGTCTCACTAACTCATCAATGTCTGTGTGCGTGTGTGTATGTTTATCAGTCCGATTTACCGCACTTTAAAATTGTACACACACAAAGATGGAATAAAAACAGACATAGAGTAATACTGGCTCTAGATAAACATCTGCAGTAAGAAGATTAATTCACTGGAGACTAGTGATGAATATGTTCATAATTCCGAAGATGACAAACACTTGAAACATCTGCATCAAATGAGTGAACTTAGAATCTTATTACACGAAAATGAGTTACTTCAGAAAATAGCAGAATAAATTGTGCAGTTGAAAAACTGAGCAGAGTTTTCATAGGCCAATTATCTAACTAGTGCTAGATGTTCGTTGATTTCTGACTATGTATTTCCTGATATAAACTCTACGGTATGTTTAGCGTTTGTTAGTATTTAACAATGAACTGAGTGTAAGTAAACTTCTCCCTTTACAAGGAGTAGATGACGACGCTATGAATAAGTGTCAATATAGATTGATGCTTTGCATACGACGAACCGGAAGACTGGCGGAAACACTGCTGGGTGAAACGAAAGAGAAAACTTGTTTTTAGTCAATACAATGTATGCTCTTTCTTTCACAAATGTAAAACAGAAGTTTTAGAGGCAATCGATGAAGGGATAGTGTATTCTTCGATAAGAGTAAACAACGGAGAAGTTGTATATCTAATGACCCAATTAGATGAGATTTTGTGTGGCATATATCTTTTGGTGCTCATAATATACTAAGTTTGTGTTTTTATAAATAAAAATGATAGTAGATACGGACACGCTGTCTTATCAATGAACACCAATAAATATCAGAATATCTAACAATATATGTGGGCAGTTCAGACAGTAGGTGGGAATATTATGAAAATCACAGGTGTGTCAGACCGCATTCTTTTACATCGGGGATTGTAAAGTCAACACTTAGCACAAGGTAAAAGATACAGATTTTCGACACTGATAGTAAGTCACTGCTTCTCTATGGTTCAGAGACTTGGCGCGCATGTCACCAAAGACACTTTCAGCAACATCTGTCTTTTCTAGATACTGAAAACTCGATAGCCAACCAAAAACGATCAGCAACTAGCGAACCAGCCAGGAGTTTGTTACCCAACAACTATGAAGAAGTAAGCGGAGATTGATTAGATATACACTGAGAATACCGTCGAGTAGTAACATCACATGCGAGACAGTCCGTTGAGCGGAATCTGAAGTGAAGAATTGGGCGGGCGTGCGAAGGTGACATGAAAAAGATAATGTGAGGAGGGAATGAATGCTTCTAGGAAGTCGTGGGGTCAGGTGAAAATGGTTGCAGATAACCGAATAGAATAAAAATGTGTCCCTGTAGACCCATTTTCCAGTTGAAACACAAGAAATATACATATCCATCTAACGGAACCATCATTTATTATTTTTTTATTATAGCTTGAAACCACACAGTATTTTTGGTAAAATTATGGAATTTTCAGCATATGATATCGGTAGCTCAAATTTCGCAGGCCGACCATTGATATCGGGTGTGCGCCGGCAGGGGATCGAATCCCGGACCATGTGCATGATCGGCGAGAGTCCTAACCACTGCGCCACCGACGCACAGTGATAGAGTGCTCACCAGCTACGAGTGTGGCCTGGGTTCAACTCCCGATCGACGCACTCTTAAACCCTGTCTAGTTTACTATCCTGTAGTAAGCCCGGTAAAGAGGGGGAGGGAGACTGCACTCAGCGAAAAAACACTACTATTGAAAATTTAAAGTTTAAAGATTGAACTTGGAGTGCAAAGGAACGAAAAACAAAGCATAACAAGTTATTTCTCCTTTATATATGTTTTTTATTACTTGCATTCATTCGCTGAATTTTCTCATTTTAGGTAATACTTAATCGTGATACAAATGTTCAATGTGATCCAAATTTGTTGCCACAACCAGATCATGTGATGGTGAATCACATGTATGCTTTGTCTATCAAGGTCAGTGTTGTTCTTGTCTAAAAGAATGTCATTGCATATTATTATTATTATTTTCATTAAATATTACGTTAATACTTTTGCCTTTCTCTCTTCCAACACAACAATATATAGATAGATGTATTCAAGCAGGTTACTGGTGGTGAATTTACTTTGAGATCCATTGATATTCCTGATGCTGTTCTTTAACCTACCCCCCCCTGACACTAACCTTAACTCTAATCTTGACCTCGCGCGTCGGTGGCATAGCGGTTAGGACGCTCGCCGACCATGCACATGGTCTGGGGTTCGATCCCCCGCCGACGCACTCCTTTACCTCGCTGAGCCAGAAATAATTCTGGTAAAGAGGAAAGGTTGGGCATGAGGCTAGCAACCCCATCCTGTAAAATAAACACTGCCAACTAGCTTGAAGCCCTATGTTCCACTGGGGAATGTGAAGGAAAAAAATCTTGACCTCAACCCTATGATCTACCCTTCATCCTAAATACCCTAACCTTAACCCTTATATATATATATATATATATAAGCGTTTCTTGTTCCTAGTAAGAGAATCAACGCAGCTCATTAATATTCAGTTATTATTGTTACCAGTATTTTACATCTATTTTTATTTAAGGGGAACTTTAATTCAACTGCATTTTCGCATCGATGAAAATACTTAATTCTATTGCTTACATTTTCTTTTCTGTTAACTCTCATTTGAATTTTGTAAGTAAAACCATATTCACTTGATTTGTCTACTACTTCTTGAAGCACAGTAGTGTTCCACTAGTCTGGATTGCTCTGAACTCCCAACTATTTTCAGTCATAGGTTTGAATACTCTTCCTACTATGTGTGGTTTGGAGAACCAGTCAGCCAGCCAGCTGGCTATCCCCGTCCTTCACAAATATACACAACAGGATACAGCCCATTGTTCAGTGCATAAACGTGCATATGTTCGTTGTGTAAAGTTATACCACATAAGTTTTAGCATGCAACTTTCAAATAATATGCATAATTTGCTTTACGCCATTTGTAAATTATTAGGTCAAACTGGTTATTATACATATATATTTAATTGCGTTAAAACTGTATTCTTACTATCAGGAATTTGTATGTAACCTTTAAACTACCATAGCCAAAGTCCAATATCTGTCAGAAGTTGACACTGATTTGGGAAACTCTGAGAAACATCATTCCCAATCAAATAATCCCTGCCTTTATGGATACGTTGAGGGTAGGTACAGTATTCTAAATATTCCCTAGGTACTTTTAGGTAGGGTTAGGGTAGATTATAGGGTTGAGGTTAAGGTTAGCGTTAGACGGGGAGGATCTCAAAGTAAAGTCACCACCAGTAGTAACCTGCTTGAATATGTCTATCACACATAGTATGATTTCACTATGGATTACCCTTGGAGTAACTAGGGTACATTCTAACAACACATAGGAGACAATTATCCAGTGTAATAGCATGTTCACCATGATTTTTAATACAGATTGTTCAAGGTCACTATAATTTTGGCTATTATTATTTACTATTATTATTTCCTTTAATTCTTAGAGGAACATAGGGCTTCAGCCGCGCGTCTCCATTGCGTTCGGTTCTCTGCCAGAGTCTTCACCTGGCTCCAAGTCTGCCCACATGCTTTCATCTCCTCTTCACATGACCTCCTCCAAGTCACCCTTGCACTGACGACCAACTCGCCGCTTCCCTTTCGGGTTCCACTCGAGCAATGGCTTGTCTAGTGATGTCACTTGATGGTTTCCTCAGAGTATGGCCAATCCATCTCCATTTCTTCCTGCCTATTTGTTGCACAATCGGTTCCTGCTGGTTGGTTCGCTCCCAGAGATCCTTCCTGTTGCTGATCTTTTCTGGCCGGCCATCTGATCTTGAGTATTGAGCGAAGACAACTGTTAATGAAGGTCTGTAGTTTGTTTGAGATGCTCTTTATGACGCGCAGTGCAAGTCTCTGATCCGTATAGTGATAGCACTGACTTCACATTGGAGTTGAAAATCCGGATCTTATTTTTGACGCTGAATGCTGTTGACCTCCACACAGAATTGAGAGTAGTGAAAGCTTGTCTTGCTTTCCCGATCATCGCTTTGATATCCTCGTCAGTTCTTTCTGTAGTAGAAACGATGCTTCCCAGGTAGGTAGGTAAAGGAGGTAGTTTCTTTCAGGTTCCTCCCATTTATGCTTATTGTTGTCTGTTGTTGTTGCTGCTGTTGGTGTTGACCAGGAATCTTCATCACCTCTGTTTTCTCTATGTTCGCCTGAGGTCCTAGTTTCTCTGGATGCTTCTTCTGCCAACTTGTTGCTTTTCACTTGCATATCTTCCAGTTTGTGGGAAATCAGACATATATCATCGGCGAAGTCCAGATCCTCCAAGTTTTTCGTTAGGGTCCATTTTATGCCTGTTTCCTCATTCCCCGCTGTCTGTCGCTATGATATAGTTTAACTTCTCCCCTTTAAGTTTATATTTCATGTTCATGGCATAAATGTTTAAGCATTTATAAACTAGGCATGTTGTGATCAACTTAATTGACACTCAGTAATATTCTGATATAATGATAAAAATATTTATTTCTACGTTGTGGTTTCGAAATGAATTGTTTCTTTTCTCAAATAGTACACAATTTATACAGGTGTGTAGAGTGGAGATGTGTGGTTCATTGGAGGACTAACTATAAGCACTGGATTTTCAGTCAGCGGGTCCTCCTGGTCTGTAGTAGTCCCGCTCCACCTACTTCAGCCTAGACAACTGACTAGCAGTAGTATTATTAGCCCTAATACAATAAGTGTGACTCGAAACCGAGTATTGATCAATTGCATAATAACTAACTAACTAACCATACAGATATAGAGTTAAACAGAATTATGCAAAGGTTGTAATTTTCACTACTGCAATGAATTCTCCTCAGCTTGGGCATTTCCAATTGACAGCATTTGTTATTGAAGTGTGTGTGTGTGTGTCAACAACAAATGTGTTCGTATTCAAAATTTCTTTATTTTTGACTAGGCAGAAATGATACAAAACATAACACATTATGAAATGTGAGATATGCTTGCACATTTCTGCCATTTCTGTTTTACCGTCTTTCTAATCACAATTTCACCTGTGAGAAATCAACAGGAATAAATAAGAACATCTGAAGAAGTATTTCGGTGGCACAGTGGTTAGGACTCTCGCCGACCATGCACATGGTCCGGGGTTCGATCCCCTGCCGACGCACACCCGATATCTATGGTCGGCCTGCGAAATTTGGGCTACCGATATCCATGCTGAAAATGCCATACTTGTACTGAAAATTACGGTATGGCATCAAGCTGTAATCAAAAATTAAAAAAAAATAATTAGTTATAGTAGAAATGTTAAAAATAAAGAGAACAGCAAAAAGGAATACAGGTGTAGAATAAAGTAGTGAATATTTATTAACTTGATGAAAATGAAAAAGTGACGGTATACACACAAATTCAACCTGTTACACTTTATATATATACATGATAGACATTAGTCCGAAGACAAAGGTTGAAAACAATGAGTATTATACAGCAGAATATTATTTTAGCTTAAATGGAAATAACCTAACCAAACTGACATTCTGCAACTTCAAAAATTGGTTCGATAAACTTTCTCGATCTGAATACATTTGACTTTTGTCGCAATCATCAGCTTTCGTCTTTACCCATAGGTGTATATGCGTTCATTTCCACTGGGCGCATACGTAACATACATAACGTTATCAAGGAATAATCAAATTTGACGTAGTGTTAGTTAAAGTGGGTAAGTGCGATCTACTTTGAACGCAAGACATTGTTGCAGCACATCTCTGTCAACGGAGTCAAACTCCTCTCTCCTGACAGGTCAAGAAATTGTGGGGAAAATCGAAATGCATGCAAAATCCAAAAGTCAATGTGGTAGGTGTTAGACACCGGTAAATATACAAATGTTCCAGAATCTGTAGTATGATGAAGATAGGATCAATATTCCCGCATCCTGGCTTGAAGAATGCCTGGTAATCCTGGGTGTTTGTTTCTGGCGAGCACTGCTCAGTGTACGCATGACTGTGAATCTGCATCGGTTGGGATGACTAAGACACGTGTCACGCCATCCAATTCATAACTGATATACAGTTAGATTAGAGTTAGCGGTAGTCAAATCAAAAAGTGACAAGTCTCTGATTTGATTCCAGTCACGTAGAGGGATCTGCGGTCTGTCTCGTTAAAGTCCTCGGGATGCTAGGAAACAACTGTTGGTGACAAAGCCCAAATTCATGCACAATAAAACTTATGCATTCGCTATTTATGCTCTTGAAGGCTCATTAATTCTCTCTACTTTTCATCGTATTAATTCTTTCTCCTGCATATTTGTCTTTGTTGCAGTTTCATTACATTTATTTTGTGGAGGGTGACTATTTGGACTGCCGTATCTTTGTGCTGGGTTCTGTATTAAAAGTTTGGTCGTGTCATCAGTATTTCTTCACTTTTTAACTGATTTTGACTCATTACTGAATAACTTCCAGCCCCCTTCCCCCACATATAATAATAACAATCTACTTTATTCCAAAAACAGTACTTATAATACAGAATGGAATTCTCAGCATTTGACACAATATTGCATCTGATTTACTTAGAATATAAATAAAATATAAATTAGAACAAAATTAACCAGAGGAATTTGTCCACGTTTACGATATAAAGTCAAAAATATTCGAAGCACGAATTGAGAGTATTAAATATAATAATAATAATAATAATAATATAATAATAATAATAATAATAACAGTGAGTTTGTTTCAAACAGTATTGTCGATTCAGTTTGGAAATTTTAGCATGTTATAGATTATTGGATCTAATGTTCTGTTGATATAGTATGGTGAGGGGAAATACAAAATTAGCAGTTACACCACAGCTTAAATGATGTTCACACTTATGAAAAAAATAAACAAAAACAAAAAATTGAGAGGACTGTAAATATAAGAAATACAATAACAATAAAGCTTGGTGGAATAAGGATGGAGAAAATGGTTTATTTAGTAGTGCAAAAAAGGTTAGTTAGTTCATGCCTAACACTATTTTCATCACATAAAGTACGTGCCAAATATGGTATAGTGGAATTTTCATACTTAGACGTACGTGCATAAAGTCTTCTGAAAAGACTTCTTGTTTTACCTGAGGAGACACAAGGTTGGAGCTGCGGGTAGAGTGGGTGCTCAGAGTCTGACAAAGTTCCTTTAGCAAATTTGTTGCATGACATCAAGTGCCTATCAGTGACAATGTCAACGATATGGCCCAATGGGATACTACTGTGCGAAATATTGTCATTATTGATTGATTGCAGCAAAGTTTACCGTTACTGTTGGTTAGCCTTCTAAGCAGCAAAAGCGATTTGTTCGCTTGACTGACTGACTGGTTTCAACATAGAACTTTGTCCAGATGTGCAGCAGTTAGAGTTGCGACACTGCATGTAGCACACAAAGCAAGAGAAAAGAGTAAACAGAAAGATAATAAACAGGAGCGTTAGGGAAAAATAATAGTAATATGTAGAAACAATAGAGCTTTATTAGTTATCACAAGTCACAGAGAGTGAATGCATCTGTACATGCCATTGAGAACAACTTTGAGCCATATCACCAACTGTCTCCAGCCTTTATTGGTTTTTACTATCCTGAGGACCCCAACCCACACCCACAGTCTACACCTCCATACGTGACTTGAACTAACTGTTATTGATTTCATCAACGAATGAAGCCATGTTATGGTTTGACCGCCACTGGCTAGCTCTTTTCCAACCTGATCCATCCTATGCCAGTCAGCTAACATTGCCTATTGTCCAGGAAGGTGGTTGATGGCTAGGCATGCTTAACACACGTCCTACATATCTCAATCGATGTAACTTCAAAGTCTCGTCGACTGATTTTCCCTCCTTACTTAGCACTCAACCGATGCTTAACCTCGATATCGCTCACTTGATTATACCACCCAACACGGGAGATAGAAACGCAGACACCTATGATGAAAAGCAGCTATCCTCCTGATGTCTTCCACTTTCAGTGGTCATGTGTCACTCACAGACGTAAAGGAGGACGGAGCGGACCGCCGAGCAGTACACTCGACCTTTAGTTGACAGCCAGCTGGATATCACGTCTACCGAGGCAGAGACGGCGTAAACTGGCATATGCGAAACTAGCCTTGTGTATCCATGCTGAGATTCCGCCAGCGATCAACCCGCTGGTACTGGCTGATGCAGCTTTCCAAATAAGTGAAGTGGTCAACATGCTCTACCACTTCATTGCCTATCTTTAAGCTAGAAGTAGTCGATGTAGTGGAGTCCTGTAACATTATTTTACATTTGGCGGGAGCGAGTTGCATGACAAACATTCGCAGATTGCAGATCCTGTAGGTATTGAGAGCGTCTTCACCTAGGAGGGAGGACTATATCATCTGCATATCGTAAGTCAACGAGATTATTCCCTGATGGTAACAAGTCAATCCCTAAGTCGTTGAAGTCAGTTAAAGTTAAATCCATTAGTATATTTGTAATGAAGTTAAACAGAAATCACTTAATCGTCGTAATTCTTGTCAACATAATTTCATTGTGAACTTCGTATATACACAATGTGCTCATTTTTATACCTGCTCATTTTTTTTCTCATACTGTTAATTATTTCAGGATGGTGTGATTGTTCTATCTGCTATTACACGTTATCGACAGAAATTTGTATCCACTGTACTCTATAAGCCAATATGAAGAAGACGGAGAGGTGATGGTATTGGTGGTGGTGACGATGATGATGGAGGAAGGACAGGCGAGGCAAACAAAGATCAATAGTCAAATGGTTGATCCTTATTTCTATATACTTTCTTTTTTGTAAATTTATTTATTCATAGCCTGTACAACGTTTTACTTTCTCTTTCTTTTCTATTCTTTGCTAGTTTTTCATTCACAAGGTAGAGTAGTAAACCAACTCGGAAAGATGACAATTGGAAAGAGGAAGCTATAGCAATAATTATCACTAGAAATGAAAATGACAACCTACCTATAAGCATGAATGAGCAATTCAGAATTCGGCTGGTTCTGTTTTATGTGACAGCTACAGAGTGATAATGTTTATTTCATCTTTTACTATTGCCATTGTTGTTGTTGTTTTCGACGGTCTTTCTCAATTCTATGTGTATATTTTGATCGACGTGGCAATGGCTTGTTTGAATTCTTATTTCTTTCCTTCTTTCTGTCTGTTCCCTCCCCTCCTCCCACTCTTCTTTGCATGGGACAGACAACCACTAAATTTCACACATGCCATACAACATACTCTTACAACTCTTTACCGATCATTTTATATGCATGCGTGTGTGCCACTTTGTCGAAAAGTTGCCTAACTGATTCAATCTCCTCCCTAGTTAGTTAATTAGTTAGTTAGTTAGTTAGTTGATGCTATGTATATCAGTGAATCTCTGATTCAGTTAGACTTCATAATTATGTGCTGTTGTTGCATTCTTTTGCCTTCTTGTTCACTTATCTTTAATTTCTACGATTTATGCACACAGTCAAATTCTAATTCTTCCGACGATGATGATGATGATAATGGATAGTCTGTGTCCCCTCCATCCATCCTTGGTGTTAAGATGTCTTTCACATCTTCATTACTTCTTCGCCTTTTTTTCTCTCTCAAAATATGTGTCGTTGTTATATACACATAATTAATTCGTATATTGATCATGGTGTGATGATTTCGTCGAAGTTATTTCTTTTATTTATTCTTTGACAAGTCGATTGATTGTGTTTCTTTTTATTTTCTATCATTTTTCAATGCTTTTGTTGTTGTTGTTGAATGTCTGCTGTTTGTCTGCATATAGAACTTGCAGCGGCAGCAACAGCCACAACAACAACACTATTCTTTATCACAGTGATTAATTTTGGCGGGATGTTTCCCCCCCCCTCCCCCATATATTCTACTTTCTTGTTTTTATTACTTGTGCAATTGATTTTGTGTGATATCTTTGTATATTTTCTTTTTTTCCTTTTGTTTTTTGAGCAACGAAAGATGATGATAAGGGCGAAATGTTTTTCTCCACTTGTGATTTAGCCAAACAAACTGTCAAGTGTTACAAGTCGTATTTGACTTAGTCAGTTTCTGAACAGTTTAAATTTGCCGCCATTTCGTGCACATACTCTTTCTAACAAAATCACTTCAGTGTATTTTACAAAACAAAAAAGAAATATATATATATGTACGAATAGGAAGTATTTTAATGTAATATGTGTATTTTTAGGAGTTAACCTATTCTAAGGTTTACTTGGGGTGATCTATTTCATGTCTGTCTAAAGTTCTCATATTGTTAGGCTATGTGGAGTTTTGAAGTGAATTGTGCATTTTCCAAATGGTATGTTCCGATGATGGGTATGCGTAGTTGTAAGACACTCACTTCAAGGTGAGCATTGATCAGAGAACATTTTTACAGGATTTCATCATGAACTGGCATTGGTTAGGGAACCATTGGAAAACCCGGTTGTACTGGACAGCTGTTTCGTCCTACTTTGAGACTCTCCAGCAGTACGCATCCAACATCATACTTAGCGGTATCTAACACTACCACATGGTTCTTGAAAATTGGAAGACATGGAAAGGCTTGCTTTGTTCAAATTCATTAAGGGGAATTATTGTAGTCTGTTTGCATTTTTTCTTCTCTACGTTTCTGTGATATATGAAAGGTTGCAACTTGAAATGCTGCACTCTTGTTCGAATTTCTGTATTGAAGATAACTCAGACAGTTATAGTCAGAAAGGCAATACTATTGATTTGAATGGTTTGGTATTCTAGGTTTTACTTTTTATCTGTAGTCAACACTGCTTCCAATATAGAGTTGTTGATATCCTAATGTATATTTCAAAGCTGAACGAAGATTTATGCTGCTGTGTTATCAAAAGGATTTTTTGCCTCAATACGTAGAGAAGATAACTGCATGCCTTTTGAAGTATTTATTAGGCTAATTGATTTTACTCCCTGAATCACCGTAGGACAGCTTTTCCATTAAAGGTTTTTAATATCTTAGGAAATCGCAGTTTATATATAGCGAAATGGTGCCGTTCTATTAAATATTGGTGTCTGAAATCAGCTTCAGAGTACGTTGGTGGCTCATTGGTAGAATGCTCACCAGTCAAGCTGGAGCCCCAGGCTCATTTGCCGATCATTGCATTCCTAGACCTTATTTAGGTAATAGGTCTGTAAAGGAGGGAAGCAACACCATCACTATTGGGACCTTAGAAAAGCTCGAAGCCCCATGTTCCACTCGCTATGCAAGGATTGCAAAAACAACAACATCAGCTTAAGAATTACTAGAGTACGTCCAAGAACAACCAAACGTAACATGGCTGAGTGCCAAATGGCGTGGATACTTAACTGTTTGTTTTCAGCTTAACCAGTGTAGGTCAGCACCGAATTTTGAATGATGAAAGTTGCAACAGATAACTCTTCCCTTAGTGGAATTGTGAAGACCCTTCAAAAATACCAGCCGGATGTAAAATCTAGTATAGGTACCACTAGTGGAACTCTTCCGCTGAGCGCAGTGGCAATGAGTGGCCCTCTGGTCGTCTGTCTATGCTAATGTGATGTGTGCACTATACGTTTGTCCATGGGTCCTTGTGCTTCATTCGTTTCTTATCCAGTGCCTGTTTTATCTGTAAGAGAATATGGAGAGGCTGAAAACTTTATCGAATGTGTTTTCCACTACGTCTTGCCAGAGGCTTTCGTTACCTTCGCGATAGGTCGTCCGTCCTAACACCCTCTTCAAGTACCAGGCGGTATCCTGTCAGGGGGGTGTCATTTGGAACTACTGGGTCAGTGCTCAAAAGAACACCCTGTAAGTATGCCACTTTTAGACGGTCGATACTAATGTCGTCTTCAGGACCATCTTTGCTTCAGAGAATATATTCATGCGCCTGATGGCCAGTAATATCGAGGACCAAACGGTTCGAGTACGGAGTCATAATGACCAAATACATATGAAGACATTCTTAAACATGGATGAATAAAAACGTTTGTGGTTGCAAGGCAGCAGGCCTAATTGGACGCATCACTTTTGTGAGCTTACCGATGTCGGAGGTGTCATCTACAGCTGGTAGAAAACTGGAGGGTGACACAAACTTACCTGATAGATGTGGCATTGTTCCATATCCAAGCTCCGTAATAGTAAACCCAGAATAGGCTTTCAATGCATCCTGCATGTCGAGGAGGAGGACAAAAGGTAGTAGTTACCTAGTCCACTGTGAAATATTTGCGGCTGACAATCTGGCCTTTAACTGTCAGTGGAGGCGTTGACCCATACCACTTGCTTGAGGATAGTAGGCTGATGTTGTGATACGTGTGCAGCCTAGGAATTTGGCTGTGGACAAAAATAGGCTACTTTCTAATTACTGCCAGCGATCGGTTGTTAGGGAAAATAGGCATCATTTGCAACTATTTTAGCTGATACGTCCTTCAGGAAAACTGCTTCGGACCATCTAGTATAACAGTGGATACAGGTCTGTATATCTGTGTGTTTGTGGGTGTAAACAAATTTATATGAACGCGGCGAAAGCGGGCATCTAGAACAAGTAAAGTTGACTGGTTTTAACATAGAACTTTGCACCGATGTCCAGCAGTTCCAGTCGTCACACTTCACTCAGCATACAAATCCAGAGAAAAAGTAAAAAGAAACGCAAAATAGAGACAGTAAACAGAGATATAAGGCAAAAAGAATAGTAATATCGAAGAATAATATAGTTTTATTGGAAATTATTAGTCACAAGGAGTGGATGCATCTGCACAAGCCATTGAGAACGATTTTGAGCCATATCACATTGTCTCTAGCAATTGGTGTTTACCGTCCCGAGGACCCCAACCAGGGACAAGAAAAGTACCAAGAGGTTTTCTTGCTTCTTTATTACTTGGCGCTTTCGACACGTATGAGATCAGTGCCTTACTTCCTTCGTTGTCCGTAGGACAGTTAGGCTCCAGGCACTTTCGACGATCATATGGAAAGTTGGATCAACTATAGTTTCTTCAGCCAGTGACAAGTTTTGAACTACTTAGGTGGTTTCCTTAATCAAGAGTTTAGTAGTACCGTCTGTCAGTTTTCGTCAGGGGATATCTATGAGTAGGTTGTGGTAATTGAGCAGGTCAGTTCCTATTACAGATATCGTGACGTTAACAAGAGGGAAAATCCACTGGACCTATGTTCAGACGAGCATATCTACCGAGGGTTGTAAAGGATTTTCCATTTGCAGCCTGTAAGGTAAATTTAGTCTCCTTCCGGTGATCCTCCTATGTGATATAGATGACACACACCAGTGTCAATATGGTGGAAAGGTTTTCTAATGGCTACGGTCGCCGCTAATGCGTTCTGGAGAAGCAGTTCCCCGTAGTATTGATGTCCTTACTAAAACTACAGGGTTTCCGGCAACATTTTCTCTCCTGACCTATAGGACTTCATCCTATTTAGACAAGACCGAATATGTTGTAATAAGAAAAGTGGGGGTGGAGTTGCAACTTTTATTAACTCAAAATGGTCTATTTCTAATAATGTTTGCTTCTCATTCTCAAATGACTTCATAGACTGCATCACCGTCAAATGTCGTCCCAAACATCTCCCCAAATATAAACACATCTTTATCACAAACATGTACATTTCTCCAAGTTGCTCACTATCTAATCTTTTAAATTTTGCCGATGAATTCACCATGTTCGCCGCTGCCAACTTCGACAACTCTCTGTCTGTTATTACTGGGGACTTCAACTCGTCAGATTGCTCCTTCCTTGAAGCACTTGGTCACTCTAACATTGTCAAATTTCCCACTCGACTAGACAAAACACTGGATTTAGTTTTTACAAATGACGAAGGAATCTATGAAGCACGTAAACGTGCACCGATCCTCAACTCTGATCACTCTATTGTTCGTGTTCTACCAAAAATTTACAGCAGAACACATATTAAAGTCTTCTCGCATCTGTCTATGAAAGCACAACAAAGATGCTACTCATCCGAAAACTTACTAAGGTGCATGTTACAAAATACTAACTGGGACTTATTCCATGAAAGTTCATTAGATGACACAATCGTCAATATAACGGATTATCTCAAGTTTTGCCTTAATATATGTTGTCCCAAACAAACTCTATTCAAACGTCTCGACCGCTTCTCATCTCCTTATCTCAAACAACTTCGCAGGAAAAAAGAAACTTTGTACAAATCCAAAGACAAGTTAGGACTCAAAAAGATTAATGCTCAGATCAAATCTGAAATCAAAAATCTTAATGCTATATATAATCATACACTTTTATCATGTAAATCTCCAATCAGTATGTGGAAACTTTTTAATGAAATTACTGGTAATAGTAAGCGTTGTAATACTTTTCCCTCTTATGATGTTAATGCTCTTAATCAGTCTTTTATACGCTGTCCTTCTACTTTAACTACCTCTAATGTTACCTATCATGTTGCTGAAAACTTTCATGACT